TTTGACTATACATTTTGTTGTCACCAAGACATTCCATTGTGACCCATTCCCTGCCATATTTGATCAATTATCTTTACGTTAAATTGTGTTTAAGATGTACGTTTTTTAAAGACCCCTGACCTAGACAGTTCTTAAAACTTGTAAGTAACGAGAGGCCCAGAAAACATTGCAATGTACATCTGTGCGTGTTGTTACATCTATCCGGCCGTTCACTAGCATTGGTTCAAGCATGCCTGGCTGCTGATGACACACTGAATGTCAAAACCGGTCCAGAGCTTGCTTGTGTAGAACTAATGGTGCTGAAATTATGCACTCCCAGTCGCCCCTGTGGCTGATGTGATGTCTAAGTATACTGCTGAGTTTTTATGTGAAGAGGCAGATATGAGACAGAGGCGAATGTGATTCCATTTAGATGCTTAATACATCCAATCTGCCTTGTGTTGCATCGACTGACATATATGCACGTGCGCACACACACATACACAAATCCTCATGTGAAAACGCTCGCAAATAAAATTAAACAGTACAGAATCACACAAATTCATTTTTATTCTCATGCAAAGCAACCGTTTCATATTGCTCAGCAGCATCCAGTATTTTATTTAATTGCTAAGGCCTGAAAAGGGAATGTGAAAGATGTGTTGTTTTATATTTTTCAGTGTCTATTTTGTGAATGTCTACATGGGACATAAAATATGCATATGTTTAATTCACAATGATAAACCGCATAGAATATCGGAATGCCACGTTGCAATATGTATGGTATATTTCTAGCTATTTGAAAGCAGGATCGCCATGCAGGCTTCATATCTCATAACATAGTGCAATGTAATCAGCTTGCTGCGTGGTGTTTCTAAATATTCAAAACAAATTTAATAGCACATGCGAAACATTGAGAAGCTAAGAAATTGCCATGAATACGTTGCCCACCCGATCTGCTTCTCACTGTGATGAACAGCGTAATGATCGCAAGCCCCATCACGAGCCCTCCCGTCAGTGCTGGTGGCAATGCCTATCCCTCTTTGCCTGCCAGCTCTTGATTCACGGATGTTTTTTTTACACATTTGCTGAGCACAGGCTCAAAGGTCCAAAGCGTCAAGCGGTCAGTGACAAACGGCACAATCAAAATTGTAAAAGGGAAGAGTTACGATTTTTTAAAACTGAGCAACGTTATTATAAGAGCTTGGGGAAAATAGACGATGGGAAGGAATTTCAAAGTGTTGCCGGTTGAGGGAAAAAGCAAAATGCATTTGTTGTGACCTGACATGTACGTATGTATGTTGCACTTCTTACGTACCGTAAATAGCCAACCGTGCTCGTCGACACAGCGAGAGCGTATTCGTTATTTGTTGGATAGGTTCGCGGTTCGATTGCGCCAGGCAGCTCTGGTTAATACAACAGTGTGTAATAACCATAAAACACGACGTGCCACAGGGTTCACAGTGGACATTAACGATCCCGTGACGTTGTGTGCCAGTGTCACAGTCCGTGCTAAACTTGAAAAATGTAAATGTACTTGATTGGGAAAGACGTAGCAATCATTGTCCTTTACTGCAAAAATTTAGTATGACCCTCCTAAAAAAATATTCTTGAGACTCAGTGAGGCTTTCTGTGGGTAAACAAATGTAAATAATAAATGTGAGGGCAGTGTGGGGCTTTGATCAGCAGTGAATCTCGCTTGGAGTCGTACACAGGCAACCATGGTGCTCTCGAGCAGCGGTGCACATTGAAGTTCGGATTTAAGCGTCCAGAGCTCAGACCATGAGTCAGTAAAGTGAGGGAAAAAATATTTGATCCCATGCTGATTTTGAACGTTTGCCCACTGACAAAGAAATGATCAGTCTATAATTTTAATGGTAGGTTTATTTGAACAGTGAGAGACAGAATAACATAAAAAAATCCAGAAAAACGCATGTCAAAAATTTTATAAATTGATTTGCATTTTAATGAGGGAAATAAGTATTTGACCCCTCTGCAAAACATGGTGGCAAAACCCTTGTTGGCAATCACAGAGGTCAGACGTTTCTTGTAGTTGGCCACCAGGTTTGCACACATCTCAGGAGGAATTTTGTCCCACTCCTCTTTGCAGATCTTCTCCAAGTCATTAAGGTTTCGAGGCTGACGTTTGGCAACTCGAACCTTCAGCTCCCTCCACAGATTTTCTATGGGATTAAGGTCTGGAGACTGGCTAGGCCACTTCAGGACCTTAATGTGCTTCTTCTTGAGCCACTCCTTTGTTGCCTTGGCCGTGTGTTTTGGGTCATTGTCATGCTGGAAAACCCATCCACGACCCATTTTCAATGCCCTGGCTGAGGGAAGGAGGTTCTCACCCAAGATTTGACGGTACATGGCCCCGTCCATCGTCCCTTTGATGCGGTGAAGTTGTCCTGTCCCCTTAGCAGAAAAAACACCCCCAAAGCATAATGTTTCCACCTCCATGTTTGACGGTGGGGATGGTGTTCTTGGGGTCATAGGCAGCATTCCTCCTCCTCCAAACACGGCGAGTTGAGTTGATGCCAAAGAGCTCCATTTTGGTCTCATCTGACCACAACACTTTCACCCAGTTGTCCTCTGATTCATTCAGATGTTCATTGGCAAACTTCAGACGGGCATGTATATGTGCTTTCTTGAGCAGGGGGACCTTGCGGGCGCTGCAGGATTTCAGTCCTTCACGGCGTAGTGTGTTACCAATTGTTTTCTTGGTGAATATGGTCCCAGCTGTCTTGAGATCATTGACAAGATCCTCCCGTGTAGTTCTGGGCTGATTCCTCACCGTTCTCATGATTATTGCAACTCCACGAGGTGAGATCTTGCATGGAGCTCCAGGCCGAGGGAGATTGAGAGTTATTTTGTGTTTCTTCCATTTGCAAATAATCGCACCAACTGTTGTCACCTTCTCACCAAGCTGCTTGGCAATGATCTTGTAGCCCATTTTAGCCTTGTGTAGGTCTACAATCTTGTCCCTGACATCCTTGGAGAGCTCTTTGGTCTTGGCCATGGTGGAGAATTTGGAATCTGATTGATTGATTGCTTCAGTGGACAGGTGTCTTTTTATACAGGTAACAAGCTGAGATAAGGAGCACTCCCTTTAAGAGTGTCCTCCTAATCTCAGCTCGTTACCTGTATAAAAGACACCTGGGAGCCAGAAATGTTTCTAATTGAGAGGGGGTCAAAAACGTATTTCCCTCATTAAAATGCAAATCAATTTATACAATTTTTGACATGCGTTTTTCTGGATTTTCTTGTTATTATGCCTCTCACTGTTCAAATAAACCTACCATTAAAATTATAGACTGATCATTTGTTTGTCAGTGGGCAAACATACAAAATCAGCAGGGGATCAAATTCTTTTTTCCCTCACTGTATGTCAGCACAGTCAATAGCAGATATTAGGCATGAACAGTGATGCCTTTCAAAGCACTCTCTTACATTGTAGTTAACAACAGTGCTGTCATCATGTGTTGGACAAATGAACTCTACGCGTGTTCTACGGGACCAAGTCACCCCACGTTAATGCTAGTCAAGCCTCTGTGCCCTTCAAACACACTCCGAATGGTGCATTGTATGGTGCAGTCGACTTAACTTACAGTATTCTGCCAACATGTTTATGAACAAAATAAATAAGCAGACAATAACCCTCCTTGCCATATCTGTCTGTCCACGTAAAATATAAATCATTTTACACATCCCATTGGCAATACGGCCTTCTGGGAGGGATTTTCCCCCCCTCAGCATTGGTTCAACACAAGCAAATTCTGGGTCGGTTTCTACATTCGATGTCTCGTCAGCAGTAAGGCTTGCTTGAAGCAATGCTGATGAAACAGTCACTCCCAGAGGCCATGCGGCACAACGGGACGTGTAAAAAAATTATGTAATTATTTTATATGGACAAATATTGGAAGGAGGCATGTAGTCTGTTTATTATGTTCTTGGGTAGATGTACGGTGGTTGAGGAAATCTTTCCCTCTTGTGTCAGGTTACACAACCTTGCACCCTCACGGCTTTAATCCAGCGGGCAAGTTATTCGTCTCATCAGTGCATCAGTGTAAGAGATAAGGAGACACGATTAACAGAAATGTAGCCTAGTTGGAAATACACAGGTAACACGATCACTGAAGAGCAGTACCAGATGCATGATAGCCATGCAATGTAGTGGGGCTGTTGCGTGAGCTTACAGTCACATCATATGCACTTGTAGCAAGTTCTGGGTCTTAAAATAAAAGTGTATCAACTTCGTTAACCAAAATAGCCACAACTATCTCCTTCAAGTGCACAGATAGACGTTCCACAGAAGCGTGCTTGGCTGGAAAATCTCCAGATATAACTGGATACGTTGAATTATGCTGTAATATGATCGTCAGCCACGTGTTATCCACTGCTGGCTGAAGGTATCGCTATCCCTTGATGCAACGATCTGTCTCGCTGCAGTCTGCGCTGATCGCTCCAACTCTTAGGCGCGTTCCCTCCTTTGGCTGCCATTCCACAACCGGTCTCGTCCCGCTCGTGTCCTGGCCCAACTCGCTTTTCCTCAGTCGTTTTTTTTACGCAGCTGCTGAGACCAGACCCAAACTATAAAGCGGCAAGCAATAAACATCACGATCGAAGTTGTAATATATAAGGGTTTCTTGATGTCGAGCAAGGTTATAAAACAGCTTGGTGAGTTGGTGAAGGTGTGGTGATGAGTGGGATGACTGGTGAGGGGTTGGGAATAGTGAAGTGGTGAGGGTTTCGTAACACCGAGAGGTTGGTGAGTAACGGGAACAGCGTTTTTCTTGAACCCGATCGCTACCTATCAATTACAAACCATTGAGCCGCCACACAATGGCGCAAGGAAAGTGCATTCCCCTTGCGCGCACAGTGCGCGTGCGTCCCTCATTATGCACGGGCTGAACGGCGCCAATAAATACAATGGACGCTTCCATCACTGTGCAGGTTTCACCCCTGCGCGTATCTGCGAAATGGTCTCGTCAGTCGCCGGGGCGACGCGCCCCGCTGTCTGCCCACCCCTCTCCCCCGCCCATGAGATGGTTTCGCCCACAGCCCTGAGATGCGTGGACAGAGGCGCGGGGACAACACGGACTTGGTCCCGCGTTACGGACCTTGATTTGGTTTCCTTGCTACGGACCCCAAGACCTAGGACCTGGTCCTTTCGCTCCGGATCCCGAGACCTGGTCCCGCATCACGGACCCCGGACCTGGTCCCCGCCCCCTCTCGTCCCCTCGCCACGGACCCCAGGATTCAACGTGGTCATTGAACTCGGGAGCCCCGGAGCCATTGACTCTCAGATCTGAGATCTCGGACCCCGGACTCGGAGGCCCTGGGCCCGGCACTCGGTCGTAGGTTTGTTGCCCAAGGCCCGGTCCTGCTTCTGATCGCTGCCTGGCTATCGGCCCGTCTCCTGGACTTCGGACGTCTCCCTGCGGGTTTCTCACGGCTACTCCGCTGCTCGCTGTTTCGCTCGTTCCCCGGAGTCGTGGTCGATACCCCCCGCCCGCCCCAGACTGTCTTCGACCCCTCGGCCTCGGTCCCCGTCCCGTCCCCATGCGCGGGCCCCGCCATGTCCGCGCAGTACTCAGGGCTACAGGCGCTGCCCGGGGGGGACCTAGGGGACGGAGCGCGGCTGCGGGGTGCGGCCTCCTCGGCCTCGGTGTCGCGCCGGGAAGTGCGGGACGGAGGCGGCGGAGGCGGAGACAGGGGACAGATGTGCGACAGGAGCCCCCTCGCCAGGGAAGGTGAGACACGGGAGACGGGGGACAGGCGTGCGACAGGGGCCTCCTCGCCAGGGAAGGTGAGACACGGGAGACGGGGGACAGTTGTACAACAGGAACCCCCTCGCCAGGGAAGGTGAGACGCTCGGACAGAAGAGCCGAGAGAGACGTGGGATGGAGCTGCGGGAGATGGGAAATCACAGGAGACCTGGGAGATGAAGCTAAGAGATGGGAGGAGGATGCACACGAGCTGATAGCAGGGGGTGGTGGTGAGACAGACGTAGAGACACTGGGAGGTGTGATATCGAAGACGAGACACGGAGAGGAGGTATGGAAATTAGCAGGAGAGGAGACATGGATATGAGGCAGGAAAAGAGAGACATGAGACCATGATATGAAATATGGGAATCAGAGCACATACGGCAAGAAGACGAGACACGTAAGGAGAGCACGACGTGAGGCTGCTGGGAATCATGGCCCCACGCCTTCACTCGCGTAGTGGAGGAGTACGCAGGGCCCGGTGGACCCGGTGGAGGCGACCCTGGCACGGCAGCCCGCATTGTGGGGCAGCCTCTATTGCACACGTAACATGGATGGCAGAGCAGTGACTTGAGGATGTGTGTGGATCACCACGGCCGTGTTCGCGTAGGAGCTGCTGCAGCTCGGGATGCTGGCAAAGCAGCCACAGGTGTGGGCGAGTGTGGGGTAAATCATGGCGCGGGGCAGGCCATTGTTACCTCACCAATGCCGCTTTATGCGAAGCATGCACGGTGACAGCTTAGGCAAAATCTAATCTGGTTGATGTTGAAAGTGGCTTAGAGTATTGAATATCGGTAACAGTATACCCTAACCCAACCTGATTGAAAGCGCGGCATGTAGTGTGAGTTGGGTGTTACCTGACGTTTGGCAATAACACTCATTTGGCTTTTGGTGTAATTTGGCACCGGTAAACTCATTTGGCTCATTTTTGATGGGGACCTGGTTCCACAATAGAAACCGGGTGTGGTGCTAACAAGAGGGCTGTTTCGCTGAGATGCCGCCGTGGTGAGTGGCAGAGTGCCGCTGCTTCTGCTGGTGGTGGTGGCTCGCAGCTCTCGGGCTGTTCGGTCTCCTCACGGCGCACACCGCCGCTGGGTTCGTGCGGCAGACAGCGGCCTTCTCACGCGATCTGCAGGCCCTCTACGGCAGCACATTTTCATTTGGCTTTTCTGCCGCTGTCAGATGTTTTTCTGTCATCACATTGGCTGCAATAACTGCGGGATCATTCCAAAGCCTATGTGTTCTTTGTGTGGAGTGGAAGCCTGAGGGAGGCTGCTGATCGTGGTGTTTGGACATTGTTGATTGCATTGCAGATAAACTGTGCCCTGGGTGCTCATAACGACACAGTATTTTATATTTAATCTGGAAATTCCCTTGAGGTATATCATCTCGTTTACATGGCTGTCAAAGGTGTCGAGTGACACACACACATAGCAAACATGAAGCCACACGTACACAAACATTTCCAATCTATAACTTATACCGTTTGCATTTATAGAACAATAGCTCATCAAGTGAAATACATAAATATGTACACATACATAATTTGATGGAGCACACCGCCGGTCGAGTGATGCACTCGAGTTGTGTTGTAAGAGTTGTGCGAGTGAGTTTTAATTAGAGATTGAAATGAGATGAGACGGTTACCATCGTCTGCATGTTGGTGAGTCTGGTAGATGGTTACATGCCGAAGCAGCTCTGCGTCTAGATGAGTGTCGAGCTTTTCACAGAGTTGTTGTTGGGACTAAAACTGGGAGTTGCCGAGTTAAGGAGTGGGTGGGGGGAGCATTTACATGTTTAGATTGGCATATAATGGACACCCAGTGAGCATGCATTGCTCAAGTTCTCCAAACCCCAGCACTTGTTTGCACAAACCATGTGATCATTCTCACAAGCCCTCCTGTGTTAACGATAAGCCTGACTGTTAACGACATACGCACGCTTCCGAGCAGAGGTAACATCACCCAGAGCGGATGAAGCAGTTCCCTTGTCCCTTTAAAGGGCCTACCCGGAGTCTTTGCGCACAAGTACACATTCATTGTGTTTGCTTGATGCATTATTTATTTGGACAACTATGTGCAGCACTTACACACAAAACCTGTCCGTCTGTTGGTGTGCTGCCCAGCGTGTTTATGTGTTTAAATGATGCATGTTGCTCCGGTTTTTATGAAGGAATGATGGACCTTCTAGGATGATGGGTTACTGCCATCTGCCTTATTGCTACCAACGTGCAGTCTGCATAACAGCTCTTGTTGTAAATGCGTATATTCGATTACGTTTTAAGCAATGTGGGTAACAAGTTGTGTACATGGGTAGGTAGAGATTTTAAATTGAAATGCATTTTAAATTGCCGTATTAACCGTGTTGCAGTTTACGCGAGCGGCTTGATGTGATTTATTGTAACGTGGTGTCGTGACAGTAATTGATGCTGTTTAGAACTCGCACTGTAATACACATGCATTATGCAGACCACAGCTGTTTGGGTGTTTACCTTCGCGTTGGTCTATCCTACTGTATGTGTTGGTAAAATGTGGTCAATTATTTATAATTCACCAAAATGCATGTGATTATTCTTTTGGAGCCCGATTTTAAATTCTCCCATCACTTTAATTAACCCCTTGTTTTCCAGCTGTCGCAGACAGGCAATGGGAGTTGGCCATGTGGTGCTGCTTGTGCCTTTCCTTCAGGAGTTGTACATCTGTGACATTTCCGGACCCCATTGGTTTTATGGCAAATCCAGCATACGCTCTAAATCTTGGCTTTCAAGCAGTCCTCAGCTCACTGATTATGACGCAAGTATTTGCAGGCTTAGTGATTGCCCCTTAACATGTATGGGTTAAAAACGCGGTGGTGGTCACACTTGGCATCTGGCGAGCAGTGATTGCCTCTGCTGCACTGTACTATAAAACGATAACACAGCTGACATTTACAATATAAAGTTTTGTGTTTTGAAGTGTAATTTGCATTTGCCTTCAGTGGAAAATGGCAGTTTCCCATTGGAAACGGCACATCTTCTATCCAACAGTGCACAGGAAAGGCTATTATGTAGTGCACTGGTGTATATTTAAATGGGTGGGTAAACTCAAAACACAGTTCCATGTGCGAATTCATGCCAGCAATGTACATGTGTACAACGAGGACCCATACCTAACAGAAAGAAAGGATCCTTGGCCATAAACATCTGGTAGTTCACCAGCATTGGTTTAAACAAGTCTGACTGCTGTTGAGGCACCGGATGTGAAAACTATCCCAGACTTGGCTTTTGTTGAACCAATGCTGCTATCATGTAAAACATACTTATTTTGTATACTCTCTGGTTCTTTCGGTGAAGTCACGTAGATACAAAAAATAATAAAAGAAAACGCGACGTTTCAGTCGCAACACAAGCGTCCGTCTTATCTCGCGGGATAAGATATCAAAATTAAATTATCATTATAAGCCTTTACATTTCACTATTTAGAATATTTTATGTGCTGAACTTGAGCATAACAATAAATGTTTTTTGCAAAATCTCGGTTATGCTCAGTTTCACTCTTGCATGGTATTGTGGCAGAACTGGTGTGCTCATGAGCACTATTATCAGCTGGGATGATCTCATCAGTAATGTTTCCCATCTTTTGATGCCTCTTCTGTTATCCATGGAAATGAAGACGACAAAATTGCTACAAATGAGATATCATTCTTAATGTCACCTACAGCAGACCCTCGAGCAAGTTTCACAGTAAATATATATCTTGCACTGTGTTGCCAATCTGCCAGTTATAAGCCAAGAGCTATTTTGCAGAGCTTTATTTTACTTGTGCACACACCAACCTCGACATCCTCCAGTATTCGCTGTCCTGAGAAGGCCTAAGAGTCTGGCATAGTATTTGTTGTCAAGGTTAGGGTCACTATCGGAGCAAGGTCCACAGGATTTGTCGCTCCACCTCCACTGCCCATCTTCATTCTTCTCTGGTCACCGCATTGCGAACCCGCCACTTCGTTTGCTGCTTGTTGCAGATGATCACGGCGCTAATTCGGCAGGGCACCCTGCTTAATACTCTGCGGAAGTATGAACAATAAAAATACTACTGGCTGTCTGCTTCACAGTGGATGTTAAAGATCCTATGATGTCATTCAAAGAATGGTAGGCCATTGTCTGCGAAACAAAGCAATCGTCACCCCCTACTCAGTAAGACTTTCCTGGGTAAACAAGTGAAATAATAATAACGCTTGCTCTGCTCCAGCAACCAATGCCTCCTCTCTCGAGGCCCAGCATGAGAATCTCTTCCATGTGTACTCTCTTCTCTCCTGCTCCCACGCTGCTAATCGCTTCTCCACATTCAAATCCAATCTCAAGACCCCCACCCACTTGCAACTGCTTGTGGGTGATTCTTGACTCAGTCGATATGCTAACTACCCACTCTACATGCCACTGTACATATGAACTCGGGTTATTAAAATCATTGTTTTGCATTGTCAGTGTTCATGAAAAAACTCCGGTAAAAAAAACGGCTAAACGTTTGCCACAAATGTATACATGTCCAGAGCAATACACGTTAAATGTCTAAATTGTTAACTGGTGAATAAAAGGGAGATGATGCCACAGTGGTGTAATTGTCAATACGGAATTGCAAGCCAGAGGTCACCGGTTCAATACAATCTCCCGATGTGGCAGTTGAAAAATGGGGTAAGTTCTTAATTCCCTTCCCACCAACTCTGACTACGCAGCAGTGTAAATTGGTTCTCTGCAGTCTGATCGGCAGGTGATGTGTGGTGGAGTAAAGTGTGAGTATGCTGACCTCTTTCAAGACATGTGGTCAGCATGGAAGAGTAGACCAAATACCCTCTATAGCTCTCTCTAGTGGAGGCCCTTCCTCAGGCAGTGGCGTGAGTGAGCAATTACAGGGCTTTACCTGTTAACTGATAAATTAGGGCAAATGAGCCACGACATTGGCTTAGGCTGGCATACCGTTTGTACATTCGCCTAAGCCTATCCATCCATT